GGGGGGGAGAGAGAGAAGAGAGAGAGAGAGAAGAGGAGAGAGATAGAGAGAAGAGACGAAGAGAAGAGAAGAGAGATATATATGGAGAGAGAAGAGAGATATAGAGAGAGATAGAGAGAGAGAGAGAGAGAGAGAGAGAGAGAGAGAGAGAGAGAGAGAGAGAGAGAGAGAGAGAGAGAGAGAGAGAGAGAGAGAGAGAGAGAGAGAGCGGGAGAGAGCGAGGGAGAGCGAGAGAGAGCGAGAGAGAGAGAGCGAGCGAGAGCGAGAGAGAGAGAGAGAGAGAGAGAGAGAGAGCGAGAGAGAGCGACAGAGAGCGAGAGAGAGCAAGAGAGAGCGAGAGAGCGAAAGAGAGAGAGAGAGAAGAGAGAGAGAGAGAGAGAGAGCGAGGGAAGAGAGAGAGAGAGAGAGATATAGAGAGAGAGAGAAAGAGAGAGAGAGAGAGAGAGATAGAGAGAGAGAGAGAGAAGAGAAGAGAAGAGAAGATAAGAGAAGAGAAGAGAGAGAGCGAGAGAGAGAGAGAGGGAGAGTGAGAGAGAGAGGAGAGAGCAGAGAGAGAATAGAGAGAAGAGAGAGAGGAGACAGAGAGAGAGAGAGGCAGAGATAGAGGCAGAGAGAGAGAGGCACAGAGAGAGAGGCAGAGAGAGAGAGAGGCAGAGAGAGAGAGGCAGAGAGAGAGGCAGAGAGAGAGAGAGAGGCAGGGAAAGAGAGGCAGAGACAGAGAGAGGGCAGAGAGAGAGAGAGAGACAGAGAGAGCAGAGAGAGAGAGAGAGAGGCAGCTCAGTCACACTTAAATCCAGATTCGTCCTCACCGAGTCCCACCACCAAGGGAGCGCCAGCAAGGAGATGCACATATGGGGATCCCCACGCAGTGAATAATCCCCTTTTTGGGCCTTCTTGGAGTCCCTCGTCGCGACCGCTGGATTCGCATTGAAATCCTGGTCAGAGCGCACCCGGGGAGAGGTCGGGGGAGCAGCAGTATCGGTGCTTTTTGGTTTCCTCTATTTTAATCCGTAAGGGCTTCGCCCCCTGCCGCCGGCCCCCTCTCTCGGAGAATGGGCCATGGAAGAGCTAAGTCATGAGGCCTTGGCGCTGTCGTGAAGCAGTATCGAAACTTCATGCGAAGCCGATTCGCAATCAGCAAAACCAACTGATCACAAGAGGGGTTACCACACCTGGCGATTGGTAAGACGTGTATGGTTTACGGGCTTGGTTACCACACCTTGCGATTAAAGGGCCGAGGGAGTTCTCGCAGTTTGGGTTACCACGCCTTGCGATGGATGTGCGTGAGGGGTGGCACCGAATTTCAGAAATGTGGCAAATCCCCTGTGTTTTTGGACCCTGACCCCGCGGATCTGCGTGAGGGGTGGCACCGAATTTCAGAAATGTGGCAAATCCCTGTGTTTTTGGACCCTGACCCCGCGGATCTGCGTGAGGGGTGGCACCGAATTTCAGAAATGTGGCAAATCCCTGTGTTTTTGGACCCTGACCCCGCGGATCTGCGTGAGGGGTGGCACCGAATTTCAGAAATGTGGCAAATCCCTTGTGTTTTTGGACCCTGACCCCGCGGATCTGCGTGAGGGGTGGCACCGAATTTCAGAAATGTGGCAAATCCCATGTGTTTTTGGACCCTGACCCCGCGGATCTGCGTGAGGGGTGGCACCGAATTTCAGAAATGTGGCAAATCCCATGTGTTTTTGGACCCTGACCCCGCGGATCTGCGTGAGGGGTGGCACCGAATTTCAGAAATGTGGCAAATCCCATGTGTTTTTGGACCCTGACCCCGCGGATCTGCGTGAGGGGTGGCACCGAATTTCAGAAATGTGGCAAATCCCATGTGTTTTTGGACCCTGACCCCGCGGATCTGCGTGAGGGGTGTCGATTTCGAGCCCCCCCAGCAATTCAGACAACGCGCCCAGGGGACGCTAAAAAGCCACTTTGGGCCTCCCCCCCCCTCGCGCGGTCAATCAACTAGTTACAGTAACCAGCAATAAGTCAACTAGTTACAGTAACCAGCAAGAAGCAGAACTGTAACACTGGAAACTACAACCTACGACTGGTACAGGAAACTGCGAATCACGGGCCTACAGCCTGGTGGCCCCACAAGGGGGCCGGCGGATCCCCTTCGGGTCCAGGCCCGCATGTACAACAAGTTCGCGTGCTTCTGCAAGGACACCATGAAAGACAAGGGCGAGGCTGCTCCAAGCCGCTGGGGGACAGGGGGAACGGCAATAAGACTTTGCCAGGAGGAGGAGGAGGAGGAGGAGGAGGAGGAGGAGGAGGAGGAGGAGGAGGAGGAGGAGGAGGAGGAGGAGGAGATGGATGAGGAGTAAATTAGCCGGGTCGAACGAGTCAATGGGCACCGCGCATTCTCGCCCATTGGTTCCATACAATGATAATCAATGGCAGCGCAAGTTGATGTTGGGACTGGAACGAGTTCCTACCTAGCGAACGGAGGGCGCCCGCGCGCAGTCGCGCTTCCGACAGCATTTCGCCCGCTCTCGCGCAGCCCTGCTGCCTTCACGAGGCCCCCAGGCGGGCCCACGCGCCCACGCGGGAACCCACAAGGTCGATCGTCCAGAGGACGAGAGGCTGATGCAGCAAGGACCGCGATTCGGGGCGCAGTGCCGCCAGCACACTGACTGTGTGCTTGCACGGTCTTCATGAGCACGCCTCGAAGCCCACACCACGTGTCCGACGTGCCGAGCTTGCTAACGACAGCCGCGATCATCTTCGGTATCGGCACAAGAGTCGGAGCATCTGCATCAACCTCTGCAGGGGCACACGTCGCGCAACAGAGACAGCAGCAGCGCGACGGCATGAGCGAGCTTCCGCGGCGTTGGGAATCCAGCCTCGCGCACGTCGCAAACCACACGGAGCGCACTGCCAGACATCACCCGCATGATCAAGCCGCATGAAGGAGTACTCCGGATTCCATAACAAAGTGGGGGGGTCACATTCGGGGGGGGGTCTAATTTGAGCTGTCTTGGAGGGTTCGGGGGGGTCTGGGCAAAGGGCCGCCCTTTCATGGATAGTCTGGGGGGGTCTAAAACTTCTTGTCTGGGAGGGTTGTGACCCCCTCCCTTTTATTACGAGATCTGGAGTACCCCAGGAAGCGCAAGGCGGCCGGCGCGGCATCGAGCCGGCTGCATGATCTGGGGCGCCGGTGCGCGGGCAGGGCTGGCCGCGCGCAGCTGTCGTCAGCGCGCCGTCGCGTCATGCGACGGGGCTGCGGCAGCGCCGTGGTGGCGAGGAGGGCGATAGCGCGGCACGCGCAGGTAGCACCACGTCTGCCAGGGGGAGCGGCGGGGGCTCTTCGGGTGTGGCCTGCTGGTCAGAAGAAGACAGGCGGACAGACAGGCAGGCAGGCAGGCAGGCAGGCAGGCAGGCAGGCAGGCAGGCAGGCAGGCAGACGGACAGACGGACAGACGGACAGACGGACAGACGGACAGACGGACAGACAGACAGACAGAAGCCGCGCCCAGGCGGCGCATTGGCAAGATAATTGCGACAGGTAGCAGCGTAGCTGGGCACATGCAAATACTGCGGAACAGTGGATTGCGCAGCAGGCGGCTCGGTTATAGACCACTGGCAGACTTTGTACCCAACGGGGGGCGATGCGTTGACCTGCAGGCGACCAGTGGAGGCGGCCAATGCTTTTCTTGCCGAGCTGGGAGCGAACGGCCGCTGGCGGAGAATCATAGGACAGCCGTGTGCAAGAAGGGAACATTCAGGAGCCTTGGAGGACGCCGCCGAAGGAGAGGGGCGCGGTATCTTGGCCCGTGGTATCATCGCCTACGGCCACCCCGCTGCGGGCGTTGAAGGTTGAACGCCACCAGTGGCCCAGACTCGGTCAACATGAAACGATCCGGCGATCGGAAAACGCCGATCTTCAAGGGCGAACGATCCACACGGTGTCAGAGACCAGCGCCGGGGTCGTCACGACGCGAACTTGCCGTACGTTTCCGCCCTCTCCCATGGGGCGCTGACGAGAGAAGCTATTCTGCGGCGCTGGGGGGCCACCCGAGACAGGAGTGCCCCTTGCCCAAAGGCCAGGGCGACGGGCGGGGGAGGGGGAGGGGGGGATGGGGGAGGCGGAGGGGGAGGGGGAGAGGGGGGGGGGAGGGGGGGGGCAGTACGCCTGTCGGTGGACATGCCCGACCTAAACTGCTGCACTGCCCGTCCACCACCTCCCGGGCACAACCCGAGGCCGGAGTGCCCCCCCTGCCCGCGGGGGCCGCACGCGCGCGTGGCTCGGGTCACCGCCGTGGCCCCGGCGTCACCCCAGCATGTCGTCGTCGTCGTCCTGGCGGCGAGGACGGCTTCCTGAGGAGATGGTCGAGTTCAGTACTTGGGCTACGTGGTCACGATAGATTCCCAGATGGGGCCGCCAGCCACTTTCGAGGCGTATTCACGCGCGGACCTCATGCAGCCGAGGCACCTCGCGGAATCCGTCGTCCCTGACTGGGACCTGCCCAGTTGGCACGATGAGGAGCGCGAGCCCGCGAGCCTCAAGAGTCCTTATCAATCTTCCCGGGGCACTGTCGATGGCCTGAACCCCAGGGTGCGATGAGACGCCGAAGCAGAACGGACTGTACCGCGATGCACCTAGATCTGGACTGTATAGAGCGGTAAAGAATTCTAGACGCTTCGCGTATCCCCACCAGCCCGTCCAGAAACGACGCCCAGGCGAGTAGAGGGTCGTCCTGAGGGGCTTTTCGGCGTCTTGGGTGCCTCGGGGGGGCCTCTTTGGGCCGTTTGGGATCCTCTTGGGGGCCTCCTGGGGGCCTCTTGGGGCCATCTTGGGGCCATCTTGGGGCCTTTTGGTGCCTCCTGGGCGCTTCTTGGGGCCATCTTGGAGGAAATCGATCAAAGAAGAGGGGAGCTTCAATTTGTGCTGCCCCCTCTGGGGGCCAAAATGGGGCCAAAACCTTAGTACAATCAATGATTTTGGCTTCCTCGGCGAGGTCGTTTTGGACGCTCTGACCGCTCCCCGCCCCCCCTGTTCAGGTCAGTGGGGAGGGGGTAGGGGGAGGGGTAAACCCCTCCCCGAAGGGGAAGAAGGAGGGGTGGAAGAGGAAACGCTCTAAACCACCGACGCCCAGAGGGCTGGTGGGATTATCCATTACGAATCGCGCGGAGTACGCGATCTGCTTGTTGAGGCGCGAGGACACAGCGACTCTGAGACCAGCGCCAATGCGGCGAATGAAGCAGAGTTGCAGGCGTTCTTTCGATATCAGTGTCGAGATCCAGAGCTCGAGTAGCACTGTGTGATATCTTGATTGACGCGAAGGAGGACTAAGATTACTGTTGCGACGATCGCGATTGACCACAGTGTGCGTCATGCGCCTACAGTTTGCTTTCGGCACGCACTCAGGTGACGATAGTATTCTCCTCCTACTCCAAATGCTGTCGGCCGATTCGTCCTCCTACTTTTCCTCCCTCTTGGTTTTCGCATTCGTCGTCGTCTGACGTTGCCCTCCTCCTCGGGATCTTTCTCCTTTTCTGCGCACACCCTTCTGTTGCCCATCTCCTCCCCCATCTCCCCCTTCCCATCCCATTTGCTCCGTCTGCTTCTCCCCGGCTTCTCTTGCCGTTCTACTCTTATTCCCCCGCCCTTCGCACTTTCACGCCCTGATTTTTTTGTCTTCGCCAGACCACCCACTCTTTCTCGCTCTGTGGCGCACCAACCTCCTTTCTCTTTCTTCTTATGACCTTCGCTTGCATGGACTTACCGGCCCTCTCCCCTTCCTTTTTTTCTGCCAGCACTGATGTTCGTTTGGCTCATGATTATCTTGCGTTCTGCCCCGCCTCCAGTGCAACCCGCAGGCTGTCCAGGACGGCGAGGATTCCAAGGATATGGGGGTCCACCCGAGCCAAGGACGAGTAAAGAGTAGTGTAGCGCGAACCATTATGTTTCTGCCTCCGGGCATACAAGGGAGAAGTGTCAACGTGGAGAAGTGTAGAAGCACTGGGGGAAAGAGGGAGGGCGCCATGACAGGGGAAAAGTCCATGGATGGGATGCGAGCGTGTAGGGTCGTGCGTTGATGTACTGTTGCGAAGGCCTTGCGGCCGGTGCTGCCGACCCAGAAGGCGGCCCCCCCCCCCCTGGACCCCCGCAGGCGACCCGCCCCCCTCGGACCCCGCTGCCATTCTGGCCACTTCAGCGCCGCCCCCTCTCAGGAGGGGAACAAAAACACAGACACAGTTAATCGTCGATCCCCAGGACAATATGGGAAAATGTGGGAAGTGGGGGGGAAGACGAACACCCAGAAGATAAAGGAAAATGCGGGGAATCCTGTGATTTGTGTGTATTTTGTCCCAGGACCCCTTTACCCTCTGCCAACGTGGCGGGCGCCGCCTGCCTCGCCTCTGTGCGGCGGTGGGCCAGAGAGAGAGACAGCAAGCCTTTTCCCTGCTCGTGCCGCAGCCACCGTCGCTATCGCACCTCCTCCTATCATGCACTTGTTTCCCAGCGTGAGACGGCACGCTGATTTCAGACTGATCTGGCCATCATGGGGCGATCTTTGGGACCTCTTACGCTGTCTCGGAGCGTCGGGGAGCCGAAGAAGCGAGCACGCCCGGAGCCGTCCTACGCCGGAGGGGAATCAGGGATTCGTTGCCTCTTGAGGTCCTCTTGGGAGGCCTCTTGGACATCTTGGGCCGTCTTGAGGCCATCCGGGGCGTCTTGGACTGATCGTTTGGAGATTCGGGGCCCTCGTGGGCCGTTTCGGGGGCCTCTTGGGACACTCTTGGCCCATCCTGTGGCCCCCGCGGGCCCGTATAAGTCATGCGGCACTCCGCGATGGGGCCCGGTGGGCGCGCCGAACAGCGGGGGCGCACGCCGGAAGCGCATTGAGGTTTAAGACTTAGGGGTCCGGGCCTCCCTGGAGAACCTTCAGGATTGAGGACTGAGGCTCAGGGGTTGAGCACGGGACCCGGGGACGTTTCATTCGTGCCGCAGGGGCATGGTGACGGACGTACACATGTTCTATCGAAACGGCTTCGGCCCATCCCGCCACCGTGTGTTGTGGGTCAGAGTCCTCGAAGATGCTTCTTGCGGTCTCCTCAGAGCCTCTGGGGTGCAGTTTTGGGGCCTCGTGGGGGCGTCTGGAGGGCCTCTTGGGGCTTCCTGGGGGCCTTGGGCTTGAGGCCTCCTGGGGGTCTCTCGGGGCCGAGGGCTGGACATGTCCGTTCGGGTCCCCAGTTTGGGCCCCCTCTTGGAGCC